TAACAACTATAATGCAATACAATTTAATATAACCACAATTATAATTATAACTACAACACCTCAAACAATCCCAACACCCCCTAAGTTACTTTTCTTTTAGGTTATATTATGAAATTATGAAGGTACGGTCAAAGGTTTAACTTCAATGGATGATCTTCATATCATCATTTCTAGTATAAGTTTTCGAAATTAAGATAAAAAAAAAAGGGGTTCCCAAATTCTTATTTAATGACTAAAATGATACACTTACAACATTGTATATAATATTATAAATTTACAATATAATATATTCGTTGATTTTTTTCACTCAATTCACATATCATCATTGTTAGTTTACAATTTTATCTGATATTGTAAATATAGAATTGCCGAATAAACTAAACAGATTATGGAAAATTGAACTTTTGCAGGGCTCGATTGGTATATATAAGTGGTTGAAGCTATGAATATCAGGGAAATAAATTTGTGAGGTTAGCCTCTTTAAGCATTAATTTGAAGTTCTATTTAATTGCGCTGAAGTTTAAATACTAAACTTTTATTTATTTTTTTTTTTGGCTAAATTTTTCATTTGGCAACTTCTAATGATCGCATCAGTTGTGTAATTAAATGTTTTGCTTTCTGGAATTCTTTTCTTCCACCTAGGTTTGAATCAGATAAATCTTTAACTGAGCGTTATGCTGATGTAATTTTTCAGGGGAAATTAGAAACTCACTGGCTTCTATCATGGAAAGTGTCCCGAGTGGGGTTGAGATGGGTCCTCGAAGGATCAAAAGCTTCAGAAAACCTATGAACTCACCGTCTCCCCGTAACAAGTCAGGAAAAGATTCAGGTTCTTGGAAGAAAATTCTTGATCCACAGGGATCTTTCCTTGAAAACTGGAATAAAATATTTCTCCTAGCCTGTATAATTGCTTTGGCACTGGACCCTCTTTTCTTCTACATCCCAGTGGTTGTTGTGAATAAGAAAGAGCTAAAATGCCTCGACCTGGATGTAAATCTGGAAAAAATTGCGTGTGTCCTTCGTACATTCATGGATGCCTTCTATATAATTCACATCATCTTTCAATTCCGAACTGGGTTCATTGCCGCTCCTTCTAGAGTCTTTGGTAGGGGTGACTTGATTGTTGATCCTTGGGCTATTGCAAAGAGGTACTTGTTCACATACTTCATCATCGACGTCCTGTCAATTCTTCCGCTTCCACAGGTTTGTTGGTTCTCTGTAGCAAGTTCCAATTAAGTTCTTCAATATCATCAAAGAAAAGATTGCAACTTAACAATTCCTGTCACTTTGTGTTCTCTCTCAGCTTCTAATTTTGCATCTCATCCCTTTATTGGACGGCCACCCGGATACATTTGTAATGAAGGAATTGTTGAAATACATTATTATCTGTCAATATGTACCAAGAATTCTTCGAATTGTTCCCCTTTATATAGAAGTTACACGAACTTCAGGCTTTCTCACTGAAACTGCTTGGGCTGGAGCTGCTCTGAATCTATTCCTCTACATGCTAGCCAGCCATGTAAGTGTGTGTGTTTTTATTTTATTTTTTTTCAAAGGGATAGTTTGGATTTCCTTACACTTAAATGAACCTTTCAATTCCAGGTTCTTGGGGCCATCTGGTACATGATTTCAGTAGAAAGACAAGAGCGGTGTTGGGGTGATGTTGCTAGGGATGCTCGGAAACGTAGTTATAACCGTAGTCTTTTGTACTGTGATTATGATAAAAACAAATCATCAGACCCTCCTTTGCTAAGTCTCCTGAACACTTCCTGCCGTTTGACCAATCCTGATGATACTACAGATTCAAAAGTCTTCGATTTTGGAATATTCATTGATGCACTCCAGTCAGAGATTTTGGAAACTAGGAGTTTCCGTAAAAAATTCTTTTACTGCTTCTGGTGGGGTCTGCGTAATCTCAGGTTTGTATATCACAATCTCCTTATTGATTATTGAATTACTCAAAA